GGCACGGAGTTGGTGAGGAAACCCGGGCGGGCAGCAGTGACCAACACCCAGGTGCCCAGGCGGTAACTGAGGGGTAGTGTGGCCACGCCCTCCGAGTCCGTGGTACCAGCGGCCAGCAGAGTGCGGTTCCCAAACACGTCTACTGAGGCCCGGGCCAGGGGCACCAGCTCTCCGCTCACGTATACCTGTACCTTGATCAGGATCTCTGTGGGAAGATGGGTGAAGGGAGAGAGGATGAGAAGAGGGGACGTTGGGGGACAGAGGTTTTGGGGCTGACTGCAGCACGGTGCTGGGGATCAAATCCAGGCCCTCTGCAGGGACTTCTATCGGTGAGCTGTGCTCTCTGCCACAGCCAGAAGTCCGAGGGGGAGGGAGTGTTAGTTCCTTTTCACCAGCTCTAACCCAGGCACACTTTCACATTTCTGAGCCCAGGCGGTGTCTGGGATGAGTGATGTCATCATTACAGTTGACAGCATTTTTCTTTCCCATTCTTACTGGTTTCCGAAATAAGACTCTATCTTACAGCCAAAGATTTGCTATATTTGCTAAAATATGCCCTCAGTCCATTTTGCAGATAAAAGACATTGAGGCTCAGAAAGTGTAAGTTTTTGCACTATAGTTAAGTGAGAAATCTGAGCTCCAAGCCTAGCAGTCTACTTCTAGAATATAAGTTTTTAGCCACTTGGCCAGTGTCTATGGAGAGAAGAAAGGGAGAGAATCAGGCAGGGGACAATAAGGAGCTTCAGGTCAAGATCAGGTAACTTGGAAGGACAGGAGCTGGGTCCTATTTGAGTTCTCAAGAAAGAAAAAAAAATAATCAAGATTCTAAGCTGTCTTAGGTCATCCCTATCACTCACCCTCTCTCCAGGATCCTTTCCAAAAATCTGTTTCCCTTCAAGTTTAGGGATCTTCCCCAGCTCCTAAGCCCAAACAAGTATCTTGATCCCTCCCTTCAAATCTATGGCTGGTCAGCTACAGTCAATCACCATGGCAACACCCTCATTCCTCCCAGGAGATCAAGCAAGGGATCTGGGGCCCTGGTGAGGAAGGGCTGCGTGGGAAGCAGACCCAGGCCCAAGGGAAAATTGTATGGAGGGAACTAGGGAGGAAGCATAAGACTTCCAGATTCCCAGGCTATCTGTGACCCCCACCTCCAGGATAACCTGGCCATACTGGGCCTGAAAGTGAGGAGGTGCTCTGGGCTTGGATGGGGTGATGAGCACTTGAGTTACTCTCATGGATTTCCCCAGGCGGCCTCTGCTAACTAAACCTTTCCAGCAGCTTCTCCCTCCAGACCGTGTCCCACGCCTGCCTTCCCAACGAGGGTCATAGATGAACACAGCAGGCAAGTGGGGAATATACTGGATGCTGGGTGGAAATCCCGGGTAGAGAAGGAGTTCTTGAATAGAAGGCGGAAGGGGCAAGGGGGAGGAGGTGGTGTGTGCAGCCACAGAACTTCAAGAAGGCCTTTCATGGACCCTGACACTCAACAGTGACAGGTGTCTCATCTCAGGCTTCCAATGCAGGACGCCACGCCTGTCCCTGACATCCCATCCAGCTGTTCCCAGAGCCCACCTCCCTCTCCAGGCTAGGCCAGAGTCTAGCTCTTCAGGGTGGGGCACCCACTCTGCCCACTCCCACTCTGGTTCTCCAAGGAGTGGCAGTCTCCTGCCCCAGCAGGAATTCTGAGAAGCTAAAATGGCCTGACTGCTCCCAGTCCTATCCTAGGCTGGGAACAGCTGGAGAGAGCAGCTGGGAAGAGTGGGTCCAGGAGTCTGAAATTTCGTCACTTGAGGGAAGCCTTTGGGCATGGGGAGGGGAAGGGCCTGGGGAAACAACACAGAGGTGGGCAGGTAAGGCCTGAGGAGCATCGGTGCCAAACTGGGAGGTGGGGCAGGTGTCTAGTATTTTCCCCTCTTCCCCACAGCCTGGGCTCCCAGCCAGCTGCCTGAGAGAGCCCCCATCCTGGCTCTATTCCAGCTAATTCCCTGGGCCCTCCCTCCCCTGGGGTGCAGAGTCTTGTGGGCGGAGCTTCCTAAGACGCTTGGGCCTCTTCTCTGGGAAATCAGGGGAGACTGAGGCACAGGGAAATCCCTCCCTACCCTCAAAGCCTGACATTCCATACGGTATCTGCATCTCTCCACTTTAGCCCTGCCTCATTCCAGGAGGAAATCCGACCTCCTCCCTTCATCCGGACCCTACTTCCCTCAACCAGACCCTTCCGCCCCCCCCCCCCCCCTTTCCTGCCACCTTGTGGTGGGTGTGGCGCGGGGGGGGGGGGGGGGTAGTTAAGGAACGAAAAACACTGTTTCAGGATGGAGCCACAGGCAGGGGAAGGAATACCAGTAAGTGGGGTGGTGGCGCAGGAACCTGAAAGGTGGGAGAAGAAGGCAGGGATGGGAAGGATGGAGGCCCAGAGTACACAGGAGTGAGCTGTGGAGTCAGGGTCTCCAGCTCCCACCGCAGAGGCCGGCCCTACCCCCACCTCACACACCCATCGGAGCCAGGTTAGGCTTTAAGAGGGTCAGGGTCTCCTCCTTTGGGGGAGAGAAGTAGAATGAAGAGGAGGAGATCTGGAAGCTGGCAGAGCGGAGCGGTGGCAAGGGACGGGCTGGACAAGGAAGGACCCAGACACCTGCCCTCTCAGCTGGTACTGCCTCCAGTCAGGCAGCCAGCTCAGCATGGCTCCGCGACCACAGCCCTGCCATGTGCCTTAAGCTGGGAATCACAATTACCCCCTTTCCTCAGCCCCCTTCCTACTGAAGCCCCTCCCTCCTGTATGAGCTGATCAGTGTTTATTTGATGCGCCCCAAATTCTAAACCTGGGGGGCTGGCTGGAAGCTGTCAGACTCCTGGGTGAAAACCACATTTGAGCAGTCAATCCCGCCCACAGCCTCACCCACTCCCCCTCCCCCCTTGCAGCCCAGCTCGAAGCTCCCAGCCCCCGTCCGGCCCAGGGTGGCAGCCGATGCCTGCGCCCCCACCCAGCCTGGGTCGCGGCTAGGGACCCGCGGGGGGCTGCGGAGCGGGCGCCCGCCCCAGCCCGCCCCTGGGCGGGTGTCTTCCGCAGACAATAGCTCTGGCTGCAGCGCCTCGCGGACCAGGAGGGAGAAAAACAAGTCGGAGGAGGCGGTGGCGCCGATCCTGGAGACCCTCGCCCTCCCCATTGTGTCTCCCCAAGACCCCCGCAGCAAACTGTCCCCCATCCTCCCTCCCAGAAGCACCGATCCCGGGTCGCCTTCCCCCCATCCTGGGAGCAGAATGCACCCCAAGTCACTGGCACCCTGAAGAGGGGGCCA